AGGGGTGAGGTGGGGGGAAAGGGAGGGGAAGGACATTCATATGGAAAACATTTCCTCAACCTTTGCACAACGTGACGGTAAGGGGGTTGAGTGGTTCAGTTCGGCATATAAAGGTCTCTTGATTCCTGATATCAACATCCCAAATTTTTCAGGCAGCAAGTATGATTAAGTAAAAATAAGACCTGAGGAGGGAGTAAATTCTTCAAAAAAGAACACTTACCGATTATCAATAGTGACAGTCAAATTCGGGAAATCTCTGTCGCGAAATACCCAACGGGCGAGGAAAATACGTTGAACCGTCCACAGGAAAAACGCCATAACAGCTGATGGTCTGCAAGAGAACAAGCAGCCTGAAGTCAAATTGAGTAGAAAGCAAAACAACACGAAACAACATAGGCACGCAAGGCGTGCAAGAGTTTTTTTTTGTGACTTAAAAACCCTGGGGGTAGCAGTACTCGGTGGACTCTTAACAGTTATGATAAGGGTAACTCATTCACGTATGCTGGTCCCGGATTCCATATAATGTCATTAAAGAGTTTAATATATTTTGTAACAGCTTTGATGATTGTTGTCCCTAAATATTTCACAACGATTCTTCAGAACAACTCTTTTCCTTCTTTTTCTCCTTTTAAGCTGATATCCCAACGAAATACTTAATAAAACAGACATGCTCTTTTCGAATACTACTTTGTCTGAACTTGTAAAGTATAGACGACCTTGGAACAGCCCCCAGTACTCTTTTAAATAAGCATCTTATCTTTCTGTTTTTCCGTATAGCAGTCTTACGTTTGGAACAGATTCTTGAAGGTTCTCGACATCTAAGCTTACGTCTTTCAGTCATCCCAATGCATCATCCGCTACACACGAAAATACAATATTTCGATCTTACATCTTTTAACTCATTTGCAAAACAACTTGTTCCCTCTAAATAATTATTGTAATTGATCGAAGACATGAGCTTAAAATCCCTAGCTTTGGCGCACAATCCTTCACTTCCTTCACATTTAGGAAAGACTGCTCTTTCTCTAAATTTCAATAAACTAACGCTTCGAATCTTTGTTGATAACTCTTCGCACACATACCCAGTTTGAACAACAGCATCTGCAGCTTTACCAATATCCGCCTCGCGCTGATCTACAATTGTTTTTCTGCCATCCTCTTTCTTACATGCGACTACCATGATAGCAAACATCTTGTATGACACCACACCTGTACCATACGAAATATTCCCAACCGACTTCGAGACAATGTATGTGTTGGCCATGACGAGATTTCTTACCATTTCTGTAACAGTTTGTAATAGCCACAGAAGTAACTTCGTGATAACGCAGATGAGTACTTTCTACAATTTTCGCTTCGGTCGGCAAAATTAGCCCGTCCTAAACGAACGCTTGGATCACAATTTAGTGTTGGGCATTTTGCTCACAGCGTGTGCGTTGTAAGCAGCTGGGCGTCACACAAAATACTTTTCATATGCAATTCTCCCTCGATATAACAATGTAAAATGTTTAACTGAACGAACCACAGTAATCTGATACATCTCCAGATTAATCTAGATACCATCCTATTTTCTAACAGGCAATTTGATTTGTTATTTGATACAACCCATGCCGTGATTGGTGTGACGCGCGCACAGGCATGACTCCCTCACTCACTGACCACATAGCCCTTCCAGCCCCAAAGAGGAATTTGTATAGAAATACTTAAGTTAAGAGAACACGAGTCATAAGTTTACCTCTTACAGAACGCAACAACACTACTTTACCAAAAATAGCAAGAAAGAGAAATAACCTCTCTGGCACGTTTAAGTCTGATTAAATCTGATTTGGCGCCACGAAGTCTTCAAAGAACATTTGAACATTTTCATACTTTTTTACCTCCAAATAAAGATCTCGGACTGAAACGAATGTCAGAAAATGCCCATGAATTAAAATATTAAACTGCTGCTGCAGACACACAAAAAACTGTCCAAAGATGTTAGCTTCTTTTTTGTTTAATATCCTGGAAACAAGAGGCGATAAGTTGTCAGCTCTAATTGAATCTACTCCCATGTAAAAAACATAGTGTTTAGTTACCATTTGTAACTTAAAATAGCAGTATCTCGTTTTGTTTGTTCAAACATTTCATGGGAACAAGTCGTGACGATTCGTCAGCTCTAATTGAATTTACTCCCTAGTGAAAAACAAGTATCAAGTTACCGTTTGAACTAAAAATAGCAAACATCTCGTGGGAACAAGCGGTGACGATTTGTCAGCTCTAATTGAATTTACTCCCTTGTGAAAAACAAGAGTGACAAATTACCTTTTGCAACTAAAAAATAAAAAGATCTCGTTATATTTGCATACAACAAGAACAAAACAATCGTTACCTGCACTTACAATTGTAAACGTTAGAACTGTTTCAAATCTAAATAGTCTCGTCTCCTCTAAAACATGTCCTAAGAACTAGAAGCGACGATTCGTGAGCTCTAATTGAATTTACTCCTTGTGAAAAACAAGAGTATCCAGTAACCCTTTGTAACTAAAAATAAAAATATCTCGTGCCATTTGCATACTACTAACTCGTGAACTGCTTCAAAACTCAAGACTCATCTCGTTCATATATAACTAGCCACCATTACACTGAACATTATGCACTCTAAAACAACCCAATGTATGTATGTAACTGTCACACTCCCCTCCAAACCGGACTAAAAATCACAAACCGGCAAAATACACGTCAGTCTCAATTTTTCAATAACCAAAGTCCTTGTGTTTAATACAATAAAACGCCCGAGACTTCATATACAGGGTACCTCACTAAAGACCACTAAAGTTATCTTGAACAAAAACAATGTTCTTTTTCTTCTACTACAATTCGTGCTGGCGAAAACGGAAAACCCCGATAACATTGAAGAGAAAAGATTTAGTTTCATTTAAAACGTATCTTCTTATTCCAGTAGTAAACAAGAACCATTATAATTGTAAAATCGTCACAGAATAATATTTTTTTGTTCTGTTGACCAAATTAATCGCAGTTTCTTCGCTTTTCACATTGAAACTCATCAATGGATGCTGAAATTAACGCGGACAAGCCCGGAACACTCATTACGAACTCTGCTGCAATATTTAAATTTCAATACAACACGCAGACGATTTGAACCTGGTCGCAACCTCTTCGCATTGCCAGTAGTGCATTCCGCCCTCCTAAAATACAATCGTTCCTATGATAGAAACTTTTTTTCATTCACATCTTAAACCTATAGCTAGTAGTAGAGCGGCTAAGACTCATTTAATTCAAAACTTTATCTAATGGGAAAAGCTCACCCTTCATCGCATGCTCGTAGTTATATGCCAAACACTATGTTTCTTTGACTGATTATCCAATTGCAAATGATTATCAAAGCCGCCCACAAAATCATCAGTCTAACCCACAGAAGATGTCAGCTTTATTTTTACGGTTAGGCCTACCATCCAAACTAATCCGTCACGAAAACGGGGCTATTAAAAAACGCTCTTCAAACCGGAGGAATTTTAAAACGAAGGCTTTGCATTTTAGCTGTTTAGTGTCAACAGGAAACATTTCGAAAACGGACCTTTTCGAAAACGATGATATCACAATAATGATGCGATTTTCCTGCCCGAGTTTTCCTCAGACACAAATTCAAAATGGCCGGTGATTGTTGCGTTTTCATATTTTTCCGGCGTTTTGTGGACGGAAAACATTTGATGCGTTTTCAGAGTGAAAACGCCGTTTTTAAATTGCTATGGCGTAGTGGACGGGCCCTAAATACCAAGAATGGAGTTTTTATGGTAACAGATTAAATTCATTCAGTTTGTGAACTCACATGGAGCTTTGTGCAATCGACCAGATTCCTCCCAGTAGAAATTTTGAAATGGCCGCATCTTTATAAGCAAGTAAGAGTGCCGGTACATAAAACAAAACGTAGAATAGAAACGACCAGATCAGGAAACCTGAAACGAAAAGTAACGAAAATAAAATACTTAGTTCATTAATAACGGGGCTCCGGCGGCCCCAAGAACCGCCAAGCGGAACCCCATACTTATAAAGGAAAGAAAAGGAAACTCATGAACTGATTTTCTTATGGTTATCATGGCTAGCGGTATTGCTGGTGGGCGCGTACGTACAGCGCAGGCGACGACGGAGTCGCGCAACATGGCGGCCATTCTCCAGCTAATAGGTTGACAGACATGCAGCCTTGGTTTATAGCGTCCCTCTTTGATATTGGACATCCATTTTATAGTCAATTGACACCTATCAAAACAAGGTATCCGCTGACCATTATCACGTGACCATATCTCGGTTTCAAGTTTGGAGCTCATCAAAATTCTCGCTTTTCCTGGGTTAGCCTAATAGGGCCTTGACCAGCCCGACACTGGAGTTCCGCTTTTAGGCTTGGCTACATCTATATATTAGCATGTAATGAATGATCAACCACTACTCGAACTCTTGACTCTAGACATGTCATTGGTTCATAAAATAAATGTTACAAACATAATACATTAAGAGCACAACATTGGAAATAACATAGGAAATATGAATAACATAGGAAAAACGTGCAACATAGAAAATAAGTAACAAACGATGAAATTTAGTATTTATTTGACGATTTGGGAATACGGCGAAACAGCATAAAGAACGTAATGTTACTTCTGATCACTTGTAGACGCAAGCGAACACTTTGTCATTTTCATAACCCACGCGAAGGTCAAATTATTTAAGCATGGCCGCGCGAACTGGAACTAGGCGGAGGATTGGTTTCTACACCAGCCCCGAATTAGCTACTAGTGCCAGCTAATTCCAACAACAGAGTAACCAATTCCTAGACTACGAAGATCCTACAGTAATGTGACGAAAATTAACTTATTTTAGATTACGCAGTTCGTAATGTAGCAGTCTCTTAACAGATGTGGCCGTTTTCACCTTAACGCTTCCTACATAACCACATTAATGTCTGGGCACCTCCTCAGTCAAGTCCATTGGCCACTTCACACAGCAGGGTTGACAATGTTTCATCGTTGACCAGCTGTTTCTTTAACAGGGCACCCAACATCGTCCGTACGAAGCGGATCAAACTTTCCCAGATTCCACCCTGATGGCTGGCCTAAGGAGGGTTAAATGACCATTGAACGTCCTTCGAACTTAGACTATTATAAATTTTGGCTCGGTCCAGTCGCTTCAATGCCTATCTCAGCTCTCGCTCAGCGCCAGTGAAGTTGGTGCCATAGTCGCTGTATAGCGCCTTGAGCTTCTCTCTGCGGCTGACAAAACACTGATACCCACAGATAAAGGAGCCTGCTTCTAATGTGTGCGCGACTTCCATGTGCACCGCCCTCATGGTTAGGCATGTGAACAAACTTCCGTAACGTTTCACCTGACTGCGTCCTTGCTTAACAAAGAGGGGGCCGAGGTAGTCCACACCCACGTGGGTAAATGGTGGATCTGTCCGAGCGACTCGTGCCGACGGGAGTGGGGCCATAATCTGTTCACCAGGACGAGCATTTTGCTTGCAACAATTCATGCAATTCGCCAAAACCTTGCGTACTGCCGAGAGACCTTGTACTTTGCAGAATCTCTGTCGGTTGAAGGCCAGAACTTGAGAAGGACCACAATGCTCCAGTTGGCGATGACAATTCTGGATGATCGGAAGAATAACAGGGCGCTTCGTTTCGAGCGAAACAGGAGCAATAATAAAGTGTATTATCGTTTGTCTCACGATGTAGTCGCTTGAGATGCAGATCGTGACGTTTCGACTGCTTACTGGTAGTCTTCTTCAGACGATAAGGTCGACTGATTGCACGGTACCATTTATATCACAAAGGTCGGCTGTGATTGGTGCATTTCGATCATGTCATGTTTTACTGACTGTACAAAACACGCATCGGCGGGCGCTCTTCTTCATCGACAACAGACAATTTACTGGATTTTTACACAAACAAAACTGGGCAGCATCTACAGACATAAACGTTATTGTCACTTAATGGGCCTTGATAAAACATCAGGCGTTGCTTACAATTCAGGCGAAACTCAAACTTTACATTATTTTATTTTATTTTTTTTTCGGTCGCGATAGACTCTGGCGAAATCCCCGCAAGCGTGTGGCAAGAGGAGGGAAACTTTGAAGTCCTGAAACGGTGCTATATCCAAATATATCCGACTGTTTTTTTGCTGTGCTTTGGAAAAGCTGTTAATCTTTAACATATATGTGAAACTTAGAGTGGAGTAATGTGGAGCTCTTGTAAAAGAAGCAGCGGAAGACAACTTGGTCAGTGATATAAAGCGGGACAGAACTAAATTCGACACTGTCTTACGTCACTCAAACTGGAGCAGCTTACGACGAAAATACTGACGCAAAAATCCAACAGACATGAACGTATTGATTTGTGGGCCAAAAGCATCAAACATTTCGGGAATTTCGGACGCCATTTCCCCGCTCTATATCCGCAAAAGTCCTCGCAGCATTGTACACGCGTGTGTCGCACATGATGGCGCAATTTGTTCTAAAAATAGAAAAACTGACCCATATCATAGGGACAGCCCCAATACTAGAAATAGCGCGCGGTCTCCGTCCCCGATTACGGCTCCTGTTCCCATATCGAATTCGCTCTGATTATCCGAGGCCGTCTCTTTGCGACAAAAACTTGCGCAACTTGGAGACGATGTGGCTCCGAACAAGTGCACTAACATCTGGTAATCAACTGGTTCTTTGGAGAGATAATTCACGGTTTGGCCACCACAGTCAAACAAGACTCTCACTTTCCTTGGTTTTTGAGGATGAAAAACGGCATGGTGGGGTAAGTACCAGACTGGTGTATCCTTCACAGCTTCCTGTTGGTTACAAGGAACTCGTCTTGCGTAACGGCTGGAGACATTAACAGTGTCCCTGTACTTCTCGAAGAGGTGAAGGTCGCGCTGGAATCTTTTCTTCGGGTAACGCAATCTTCCCATTGCAAATTCACGACTGTTCGGAAGGTTTACTCGTAAATTCTCAGAAATAAAGAACCAAAAAACGTGAATTCTAATGTTCGTAATAGATTGACATTTGGCAAGATATCTAGGAAAGACCTATTGTGTAAGAGAATGTAAAAAAAAGGATATCGAGGGTTTGGCCGAAAAAAAAAATGATATGTCCAAACGTAGGGAATAGCTCCATCCACCCCGCCGGGAAAGGAGTTTGCATGTCCGTCCAAGCGTTAATCCCTAATTGCTTCTCGAACAGACCAAATTCCCATACAAACCAGGGACGACAAATCGTAACTTGCAAATTAGCCATTACTAAATTACTAACCCCACAAAGCATGGGCCATTTGATAGCCGGTAAAAGATAGACTTGTTCCCTGCAAGACAAAATTAACAACAATAAGCTACAATGTGCTTTACAACGTTCAAGGAAGATGGATACCCTTTCGAATCATTTTTTTTTCGTTAAAATTTCAAAAGAGGACATAATCTTGACAACTCTACCAATTTACAGTGTGTAACTCCTCCAATTTGCTTTCATGTTTGTTCCAACCGGGACCGCCAGGAATCTCGTAGGCCCCCAACGAAAAAAGTCAAACTCTCGTGTTGCTATAGACTGAAGTACGGAAAATGATTTCCTCATCTTTAGGCTACATTTGTTGAAATTCTTATGCAAGCATTGCGGATTATGACACTGTTAGTTTATGTTTTGCATACCACAAAGGAGGCAGGTGAGAGGCAAACATTTTGCATGAAGTCTCGTTGGCCACGACAAAGCTGAAGCACGTGATCTCTATATAAGCAAAAAAAGAAACCAATAACAAAGATGTAAAATAACAACATTGCAATGTTACACACAGAGATCGGAGTCGATCCTATTCCGTATTTCCAGTTAAATTCGCCGTACAAACACTAATAGGGAGTTTAAGAAAACCAGGACGGCAACGGAATCCGCAACGTCGCTTAACAAAAGGTTCAATGAGGAGAACAATGACTGATTACTTTTCTGTTGTGATATTCGTCAGGCTTGTTATTTTATCGTCGAGTTCAGAGTATTGGTCAGAAAACAGAGCTCTCTCTGTTGAAGGTCTTCGCTGAGTTCCTTCAGCTACATATTCACAAGTGCTATTTTTATGCCGCTTCGCCTTTGCAGTCACTCCAGTTGGGGATCGCTGGCCTCGAACAGGAGACTGGCTCTTGAAGGATTTCGTGGAGCGCTTTCTTTCGCCTCGTCGAGTGCCCTACCACCCGCCACTGCCTCCCGTAACTCCGTGAACATTCTGTAGCAATTCACCATTTTCCTAGCGCATTTTTTTTGCAAACAGGTCTTTTGCCGTCTTCACTATCTTGAAGACAACAATTCTCAACTCGAACAATAATTCCACAAGAATGACCGGTTTTTCACACAAAACATTGGAAAACTTTTTGCTAGAAGTTTCAGAAAACAGCGGTACTCTGGTGGCACATTTTCCATACTCTGTGTGAAAATTTTCGAGGCAAATTGCGCAAATATTCTCGGAAACCATTACAAACATGGACGAAACTGGATTATTTGCTCAAATTCTCGCCGTTGCAATTGTGATCTGTGGTACATGCAAGTAAACATGACAGCCGGAAATGATTCTAATTGCATTGGTTAATACGTACAATGACGCTTATCACGCTATGAGGAGGCGGAAGACTGCAATAAAGACCCTCGTGTCAGGCTTTTCTTTGCCGGGTGTTTCCTCCTCCTCCTACCCCGCGAGTAAGAAAAGCCTGATACTCAGGCTAGTCGATCGCTGGTTAATCTACACTAAAGCAAATAATTCTCGATGAGAGGGGCATTGGGGTATATAAGAAACCGCAAAACCGGAGAAAAAAATCATCGAAAACCGCAAAACCGGAAAACAATTCACCAAAAACCGAAAACCGCTAACAAAATCGTCAAAAACCGATACAATGGTGACAAAAAGGGCATACAGAGCAAACTACACTAACACT